ACTCCCTGATGAACTGCGACCTGGGAGTTGTAAGCTGAATAAACCCTTTCCTCCCCAAGTTGGTATTGGTCAGAGTGTTTTGTCACAGCAATGGAGAAACAAACTAAGACAACATCTTTGGAAGAACATTATTCTGCCTGTGCCATTGGGCAACATTGATGTAAGAAGCACTTGGGATTGGGTGAGGTGATACATATCTGTACCCCAGTGTTCAAGAAACTGAGGCGGGGCAGGGGTGAGCAGAGCTCTTGGATGCTTTTGTGTTGCCTCTCAGGAGTACGTAGACATGAGCTTGGCACAGGCCTAAAACTGCTAGCCCTGCTCTGGCCATTCTCTGATTATTTGTTACAGGAAAACTAAACAAAACAATAATATGTCTTGGTTCCCCAGCACACAGTACATCCTCTTCTGGAGGACTAGCAAAGGTATCAGAGGTGTGTATTCCCCTCTAGAACAGAGACCACTAGAGTGTTAGGATCTTTGAGTTTCAAGAGCTTTATTTTCTCCTCTGTAAGGCAAGAAAGTCCCCTCCTGAGAAGGTTCTAAGCCCTACCAGTCAGTTGCTCTCTTGGAGTCTCTCTGATTGGAAGAAGGCAAGAAGATGGGAGTGTGGGGCAGGATTGATGTTTACATCCAGCTCTGTCCTTAAGAGAGCACACTGTGGCAGTCAGAGTGTCAGAGTGTTCTGAGGCTGTGTCAACCAAGGTAGGGGGAGCAATAAGGATAAGGGGAGTCTGAGCATCGGGCGGGGGGGCAGGTGTCATGGAATCTTCTGATGAAGGTGAGGCTTTTCCACTGTGTTTTCCTCATCAGTATGTACAACAAATGAAAGGGGTACTTCTCCCACAGCCCCCTTCCCTATCAGGCTAGTGTGATCTTATGATGAACCTGAGGCCTAGGGAGGGAAGTGACCTGTCCTAGGTTGAATCTGGAACCAGACCTAGAATTTGAGGTTCTCCAAGCCTGAGGCCCTGCAGAGTTTGGTGACCATACTTAGCACTGTTTTTGTCCATTTGTATCCACCCAATTTAAAGAGAGTCTTTATCACATTTTCCATAAATACCTTATTTAAATGTTTTGTGCATTTATTTATATTCTTTTCTTTCTGATCTGTGATCCCCTTTAGTGGTAAGATCCCAACCTGCTCAATTTTACATTTCCTTTGCTCTGTTAACTAGCACAGAGTAGATACATAAATGAATGAAGTATGATAAGTGAATGAATGAATGGACTGATTCTGGTGATACTGAATGGAGTTGGTTATACTTAAGTGAATAGAGAAGGGGATGCATGATTGGTGAGGAAATTCAAGCCTTAATCTATCTGTATGAAAATGGTATTTCTTACCCCAAATCTAATAGCTTTGGTGCCACTGGCTGCACACAGCCTAGATTGTAGCAGGTACAGCACCCCACTGAGCTGGCAGATCACATGAATCAGAAAAGCGGGCCCCACCAGAGACATCAAGCACATGGTCCTTTAGACTGCTGCCCAAGCCACACCATTCTTGAATGGACTGCTCACTGTCCTTGTGTGTACACATGCTCAACCATCCCTGGGCCCTGAGCTGTTGGATAATAATCCTTAGTACTTTTCCAGAGATGCTGCTCATCCCTATGTGGTTCTCTCTCCCTCTGTTTCCCCTAGGCCTCTGGGCCCTAGTGAACAATGCAGGTGTGGGTCTGCCCAGTGGTCCCAATGAATGGTTGACCAAAGAAGACTTTGTGAAAGTGATCAATGTGAACCTGGTAGGACTGATTGAAGTCACCCTGAACATGCTGCCCATGGTGAAGAAAGCCCGGGGCAGGGTGGTCAACATGTCCAGCTCCGGTGGTCGTGTGGCTCTCATTGGTGGTGGTTACTGTGTCTCCAAGTTTGGTGTGGAAGCCTTCTCTGACAGCATCAGGTGACTGGGTCATGGTACCAAACCGATCTGGGTGGGAGTCTCAGGGGCTTTGCCACAGCTCTAATAGAGGCCTGAGAGAGACAGTATGTGGGCAGGGAGGTAAAACAGCAGCTAGAGCCTTCCCCAGTGACCAAGAGAAGAGCTGGGGAGACTATGTGATGTAAAAATAGGGGATATCAGGTGAGTCTTCCCTTGTGTAGACTCAGATTAAGGGAAACTCTGTTAGGCCTGTGTGAATGGAGCTGGGAGGGGGGGCTCTTCAAACAGACATAGAGGGAGGCCTGGGGCAGAGGTGTCCTATAAGACCCTCAGGGGGATACAGGCCTAGTACAGATCCCCTCATTCCTTTTCCCACGTGGGTGCTGTGTGAGACTGAGTGGGAAGAAACTGGTAGGAGGCAAGACCTTGGCCTAGATTCTCCATTTACTTCCTGCTGGGTCTGCCTCATGCAAGTCACCCAGAAACTGCTGGATCAGTTTAGAAAAGGGATGAGGCCCTAAGGAAGACTTATTTACATGAAAGCAATGCCATGGTAGGAGGAACACCTCCAGGTTTCCGGAGAGACAGGTCCCTCCTGAGGTGACTCTGATGCCTGTCATGAAGCCAGACCAAGTACAACTCTAATTTCACAGGCGTGAGCTCCATTTCTTTGGAGTGAAGGTCAGCATCATTGAACCAGGGAACTACCGGACATCCATTCTGGGCCATCAGGGCCTGGAGGCACGCCTGAAGAAGCTGTGGGATCAGCTGCCTCAGGAGACCCGGGATAGCTACGGAGAGGAGTATTTCCGCATCTGTGAGTCCCTAGGTGGGAGTGGGCTCTCTGAGAAGGGCCAGGAGATCTCAGGGTTGCTGACTGACTTTTGGTTTACAGATGTGACAGAGCCTCAGAAAGACTCAGGGCCAAAGGTCATACAGCTAGGTTTGAGATTAGGGTCCAAGTGGCAGAGCCATAGCTGCTGAGAAGGTTGGGTGTCTGGAAAGTTGATGTCTGCTCTTGGTATTTTCCTCCCAAACATCAGATACAGGTGGAGCTTGTAAAAATGTACAGAGAACAGAGCCAGACTGCCAAGCTCAAGTCCGGGTGCTGACACTTGTCAGATTGAATATATTCATTGGTCTTCTTGGTATTCTTTTTTTTTTTTAATTTTTTCTTTTGAGACAAGGTCTCACATAGCCAAGGCTGGCTTCAAACTTTCTATAGCTGAGAATGACCTTGAACTCCTGATCGTCCTACCTCCACTTCCCAAATGCTGGAATCACATGAGAACACTGCTATACCCGGCTTCATTGGTCTTTGTATACCTCAGTTTTTCATCTCTAAATCGAGCCTAAAGGTACTGCCTACTGGGCTGGGAATATGAGGACCTGCGTTTGGATTCCCAACACCCACATAAAAAGCTGGGTACCATAGCATACATCTGTAATCCTAGGGCTGGGGGAGCAGAAACGGGAGGAGCCATAGGCCTTGCAGGCCTGCCAGTCTAGCTGAATCAGTAAGCTCCAGGTTCAGTGAGAGACCTTGTCTCAAAGAATAAAGTGAAAATCAAATCTTCAAACTTAAAAAAAAAAAGGGTGGAAAGTGATTTAGGAAGACACTAAACGTGTGGACCTCTGGCTTCCACATGCCTCCCCTCCCCAAACACATACACACACACAGAGACACACACACACACAAACACAAATGTGACGTATAGTTTATTAAAGAAGAAAATATACATGTGGTTCTTAAAAAGGGGAAGGAGGCCTCTAGGCAGGGGCTCTCTCTCTCTCTCTCTCTCTCTCTCTCTCTCTCTCTCTCTCAGTTCACAGGCTCCAGTGAACCTTAGGAGCTTTTCGGGGGTAGGTAGACAAAGGGCATCTCAGTTGTTTACTGTGTTGCATAACTTGGGGAAGTTCCTCCAACTTGGGGATGTATATGCCAGTGGAGTGTACAAGAGGGCATGGCCTGGAGGAACAGAGGAGAAGGAATTGCCAAATGGTGAACATTTCATGGTAGGGACGAACAGGGGGCTCTGCATTCCTTTGGAGTGTCTTGAAGCTGAGTCAGTTGATTCTGGAAGGGGAAGATCCGTGAGACTTCCTAGGAGTCTCCTTAGTGCAACCTCCAGGGTCTGGATGGAGAGGACCCTGACCACCACCACCAGGAGCCTCCTATGTAGCTGCCCTTTGTAGGAGAAAACTGTTGCCAATAGAAACAGACTGTGGCACAATTAGCTGATATGCCCTTCTGTGGTCGCCTCTCTGCTGAGGCTGGCACTGTGGGGGTTCATGAGGTTTCCCTTCATTCAGAGTGAAGCAGTCATGCACCCAGCCTTCCTCTGTTCCCTCTGGACCTAAACAGTTTAGTTCCTTGTTTCCAAGAGGCAACTTTCAGTCATCTTAAACTCTTAGACTGAGACATAGGCTATCTAACCTGGTGGCATTGGGCAAGTTTGAGCTCTCAGTCTTCTCATCTGTAGTGGGTTATAAGAAATAAATGAGGAAATACACACACACACACACACACACACACAGAGAGAGAGAGAGAGAGAGAGAGAAAGAGAGAGAGAGAGAGAGAGTAAAATTTATAGAGTAGTGCTTGATCCAATTAGAATTCAAAGTTTATGGATACTGTCTTTCTTTCCCTAAACTGAGTGTGGCTGCCTTTCCTCCATTACGCTGGTACCTACAAGCTCTAAGTTCTTATATTGTAGAGTTCCTTAAATAATCCTTATCCTGCTGGGCAGGGTGGTCAGGCCTGTACTCTTAGCACTCAGGACGCTGAGGCAAGAGGCTAACCTGAGTCACATAGTGAATGTGAGGCCAGCCTGGATTACATATAAAGACCTTGTCTCAAAAATAAATAAACAAAAATAATCCCAAATCCAAAGTGATGAATTTTAAAAATATACACAGAAAGTCTGAGTTAGTCAATTTTCTGTTACTATGTAAAAAAAAAAAAAAAAAAAAAAAAAAAAACCCTGAGAAAAATCAACTTAGAAAGAGAAAGGTTTATTTGTGCCCAGTTTTAGTCTATGATCAGTTGGCCCTATTGTTGTTTTGGGCCTATGGCAGCACATCATGGCAGGAGTTTGTGGTAGAGCAGTCTCATGGCTGGGAAACAGAAGGTAGGAAGAGGAAGGAGCCAGGGCTGCACAATCCCCTCAGTGCACACTCCCCAGCAACTCAAAACCTCTTCTTCATTTCTCAGTTCCACCATCTCCCAGTAACACCAAATTGGAGACCAAGCCTTTAATACACGAATCTTTGGGGAATACTTAAGATCCAAACTACAGCAATGGATTAAGCATAGTCAGTCAATCAAATCCATAACAGGTCTGAAAATATCCAGGGGTTGGGCTTATTCTAATGGCATGGTTTTCTGGACATTATACATCAACAGAGTTAAAAGTCAGGAAATGGCTGGGTGTGGTGGCGCATGCCTTGAATCTCAGCACTTGGGAGGCAGATGGATCTTTGTGAGTTTGAGGCCAGCCTGGTCTACATAGTGAATTCTAGGCCAGCTGGGACTACAGGGAGACCCTGTCTCAAAAAGCCCAAAAATTTAAAAAAAAAAAGTCAGAAAATGCCCCTTGGCTTGACTTCCATGCACTTCGAAGCTGACTGTTTGCCCTGTGGCTCATGGAGAACACAGCAGGCTCCCCCATGCCATCTGCTGGGGTCCTTCCATGGCTGGGACACCTTGTATTATCAAAAGGTGAGGGAGGGGACAAGATGTTGAAGGAAGATGCTTTTGGCCCAATGGAGAGGCAAGAGCTTCCTGACTGTCTTGTGACATGGCTGCGGCTTGCTCAGAAGGTGATATACTTTGTGGGTAGTGTTAATCTTCTGCCAGCGTAGAACACAGCAGCCCCACAGTAAGGTCCCCTACCCTGCAGAGTTGTCAACCCCAGGTCCACTCATCAGACCCAGGAAAAGTAGACAGACTTTTGGCTGCATTTTGAGGGGAGGGGTTTACAGAGGATTGTAGAGTGCCTCTTTTGAGGGAGGGAGGGCCATTCCCCTGTTAGATATTCCTCTGGACTCTATTTGTTCCTAGTCCTGTCCTTCGTCTTCCACCCTTTCCTGTTGATGGGTCTCCCACATGGCCAGGGCACGGATGTCTTCTGAAGAGATTTTAGACTGAAGCCTAGGGTTCTGACTGATGCATCTACTCCTAGTCACAGGCTGGAGGGATGTGTAGCAGGATGGGCAGAGAGCAGTCATGATTCTCCTGATTCTACTTTGCTGTTTGTGTTCCTAGTTGAAGCTCCTGTTTATAAAGAGCTTGTTCTTGTTTTGAGAAGTTCATGAAGAATAGTAAGAACATGTACTGAAAAAAAAAGCCAGTGCATGAAAACCAAGAAAGCTCTTTTTTCACTTAATAGCCCTTTTATTGCAAGACCATCATATGTCAGACACTGTGTGGGGCTAGGGAACTGGAATGGACAGTGTGATGCACTTTCCCCTTGCTGCCTGTAGCTGAAGACCCTGTAGAGGAGACAAATCACACACACACACACACACACACACACACACACACATTTAGTGACAAATGTGTCTAAAGACCATTAGGAGAAATAAGGCTATGAAAGTATGAAAGAACAGGGCTTGAAGTTAGGGCCCTAATTCAGATGAGGGAACCTTCTCTGAGGTGACTGGAAGGAGGAAGAAGAGGCTTCCTAGAACATCATCCTTAATAGTCTGCCTTCAAGTGAGCGTTGCTCTTTTGAGTACCCCAATGTGTAGCTGTGCTTTTCCAATGAAGAATAGTTTTCTCCCCAAGAAGCAACAAAGGAGTTCCTTAGAGTCTTGTGTAAAGGACACTTGAAAGCCACTGTCCTCAGATTCTGTCTGCCCTGGTCATTTGCTTCCATAATGACCCTATGACCAAAGCAGGATTACTTTTTTTTTTGTTTGTTTGTTTGAAATAGGATCTTACTATATAGCCTGGGTGGCATGGAATTCACTATCTAGATCAGACTAACCTCGAACTCACAGAGTGCTGGGATTAAAAGCATGCACCACCATGCCTGGCCTAGGATTATGATTTTTTTAATAACTTTTTTCCTACATGCTTTTGTAGAAAAAGTAGGAATTCCTAGAAGAAAAATGAATAACTTGAAGTAACTAAGAATCCCTCGGGTCAATATTTTTGCTTTCAGTTTTTCTTTGCAATATGTACGTTTTCTATTCTGGCCTTCCATCTGCTCTGATATAAACCATTATAATGGTTTGGATTGCAAATGTCTTACAAAGGCTCATGTGTTAAAGGCTTGGTCCCCAATGCAGCAATGTTCAGAGGTGGGGCTTTGGGGGCATGACTGGATCACAAGGGCTCTGACATTATCCATGGATTATCCTAGCTAGAAGTACAGCTCAGTGGTAGAGTGTTGGCCCGATGTGTCTGAGGCTCTATATTCAATCCCCAGGACTGCAACAAACAAATAAATGAAAGAAAAAGAAAACAAGAAAAAGGGGAAAAGCCAAGTGTGATGACTTATACTTGTAATTCCAGCACTTGGGAGGCTGAGGCAGGAGGATTGTCATGAGTTTGAGGCCAGCCTGGATTATATAGTGAGTTCCAAGACAGCTTGGGTTGCAGAGTGAGATGCTGCCTTCAAAACAAAAACCAAAAGAGTCAATCTACTGATGCTTCATAATTCTGTGGGTTATTGGGAGATGATGCAAACTTAACTGGGCCCCAGTTAAGGGGAATGTATCCTTAGAGACATGCCTTTAGACTGCATTTTCCTGTATTTTGTCCCTCTCTCCCTTCCTCCTCACCTCTCTCCCATCCCTTTCTCTTTCCTGACCACCATGAGGAAGTGGCTTTGTATTCCGTGCCCTGCTATTTGACCTCACCACAGACCCAGAGCAAGTCAAGTGGCCGTGGATTAAACCTTTGAAACCATGAGCCAAAATAAATCTTCCTCTACGTATTTTTCTCAGATATTTTGACAAGTGATCAAAAGGTGATAGTCGTCTTTGCTATTCTCCAGAACACATACTATCATCTTCACTTGACAGATAATCAAAATTTATGCTCCAGGTCAGACAGCTGGCAAATGGTGCAGTCGTCAAAGAATTTGGCAAGCTCTTTTCATTGTTAGTCTAATACAAAAATGAGAATTCAGGACAACTGTAGAATTTGGAAACAGAAACAAGATGATTATAGAGATCCTAAAATGGGTGCTTATGTAAGGAATACCATGCATGGTGTGCCAAACATGCCTGAAATGCTAAATCAGGGATCTGATGGCCAGAGAGTTTGGATGGAATTCAAGAGAAACCATCTTTTATGAACTAACAGAAGTTTTATCCTGTCTCCCCCCACCCCCCACCTCAATGCCTTCAAACAGATACTGACAAGTTGAAGAACATGATGCAACTGGCAGAGCCAAGGATCAGAGATGTCACCAACAGCATGGAGCATGCCATTGTCTCCCGGAGTCCCCGCATCCGCTACAACCCTGGCCTCGATGCTAAGCTCCTCTACATCCCCCTGGCTAAGTTGCCCACCTCGGTGACAGATTTCATCCTGAGCCGATATTTGCCAAGGCCAGCGGACAGTGTCTGAACTGGGGAGTTCAAGGGGTGGTTGGTGGGGTATAGAGGAGGGGACAAAGAACTGTGAGATCACAAGAGGCATTACCTCACATCCTGTAGGCAACGAATGCCAAGCTCAGTTGACACCCACTGCTGGCTTATGTCTCCTCCCACCTGCTGGGGCCCCCAGAAGCCTGAAGTGGCCCTTGTAGATTTAGAGGCTTTTAGCATGAGCCCCAAGGACAGCGGTCACCCAGGTAGGTACGAATGTTCCTGGACCTGGAAAAGTTAAGGAGAGGAAAACTGGCTTCTACTGAATGACAGTGGCCATCACCTCTGAAATATCATAGGATGATCTAACCCATGGGAGAATCTCAGCCCCCTCCCCAGGTCCCCAAATACGCACTGGATTTATATATATATATGGAGTATGATGGCCAGAAATACCAGAGCACATCCAACAGATGTTTAAAATAGTTTCTTTTTCTTTATATTTCTCTATCTACAGGTGATTGGGATCCACATAACACTCACTTGTTTAATCATCGTTGATTAATTCTTCAAATATTTATTGAGTACTTACTACCTACCAGGCACTGTGAGGTTCTGGGGGTATATGAAGATGATGAAACCAAGTCTTGGTTTTTTATTGTTTATTTTATGTTTTGTTTTATTTTTACAGTATCTAGCAGCAGAGATAGAAGGGACAGAAATAAGAAAATGAAATTCTAGAAGGATCCTGGAGTCATTGCACAGCAGTTCCCAAACTTGGCTGTTCACTATAGTCACTTTCATATATATATAATATGTATATAATATATTATATATGTATGAAAAATACATCTTCAAACCAGGCCTGGTGTCTCAAACTTGCAATCCCAGTACTTAGGGAGCTGAGACAGGAAGATCTTTGTAAATTTAAGGCCAGACTGGATTATAAAGTGAGACACTGTCTCAAAAAAGAACAAACCCAAAACAAGCAAACAAATATATATGGACCTCAATGTTAGAAAATCTGATTCAGTAGATAGAGATAGGACCCAGAATTGTATGGGACCAAGGACCTACACGACCCTCATGTGCCTGGAAGCCACTGATATCCCCACAGAAGTAGCTATGGCTCTGTGGGGAACTAGTCCTCTCAAGGGCCCAGCTGAGTGGTCAAGACAAACAGAACTCTGATATTCAGATTCTCAGACCAGGGTTCTTTTTTAGCTACAAAAGATCAATTTCTAAAATTAGTAACATCTTCAAATAAGTCTTGGAACTAAATATTTTTAAACACTATAAATTTCTGGGTCATACAAAGTTCTGTTAAGAAAACTTTTGAGGTACTAGGGATCAAACTTAAGAGACCTGAGCATCTAGGCAAGCACTCTACCACTGAGTTATATTCATAGCTCTTGTGTTTGTTTTTGTTGTTGTTGAGACAGGACCTTACTATGTAGTTCAGGCTGGCTTGAACTTGCTATATATTGCAATATGGCCTCAAACTCATGATTCTTCCACCTCTGCTCCCAAAGTGCTATAATTGCATACATGTGCCACCAATCCCAACAATAACAACACAAAGACTTAAAAAAATCTTGATGCCTGTTCATGAAATAAAGGTCAAATATTATTTTTATTGTTATTTTTAATATGTTATTTTTATTTTATGTATGTGTGTATTGCCTGCATGTATGTTAGTGCACCCATGTTGTGCAATGCCCACAGAGGGCAGAAGAGGGTGTCAGATCCCCCTGGAACTGGAGTTATGAATAGTTGTTAGCCACCATGTGGGTGTTGAGAGCCGAACCCAAGTCCTCTGCAAGAGCTGTCAGTGCTCTTTATCTCCGAGTCATCTCTCTAGCCCCAAATGTTTTTAACTTATGTTTCTTCAACATCTGGCTGAACTTGAAGATAAATGTGACTTTGTCTGCAGACTCTTTTGAGGTAACATTCACATGTTCTAGGACTTATCATGAGGCTACATCAGGGTAGGAAGGGAGACACACTAGCAATCCACGGTAACCTGTTACTTGCAACACTTCTTCCTGGCACCAAATTCTTATCTGATAGAAAGCACTGAGCAGGAAGTAACAAAAAAAGTCACCCCGGCTGGCTTAACAATGGGCAAAGAGGGCAGGGCCCAGTGGCTGACCAATGGCCTCAAGGGTGTAGGCTCTTTCTCGTTCTTTCTGCCATTCAGTTTGAGCTTCTTTATTGCGGTGGCCTAAACACCAGTGGGAATGGGAAGTTCTGTGCATCCTCACTCCTGTCTTACAGTAGACACAGCCTACTTTTCCATGGCATTTCAGATGCAGAAGGGTGTTTTCCCAGAGCCATCATCAAGGCTTCTATAAATCCTAGTGATTCAAAGTGGTTTAGGCTTGTCTGTCCCTGAACCAAGGGCAAGAGTTACCATGAACTGTGTAGATTAATTGTGTGACAGAATGGGGATGCTGGGGAGTTGGTCACAATGTTTACTGCTCAGGAAAGTTCAAAACTCAGATTTCTATGCTGCTGAAATGGTTGAGCAAAGGTCAGAAATACATTTTCTTCACTAAAGGCACAGAAGCTTAAAGTGGGCATAGTATTGCTCACCTGTAATCCCAGCAATGGGGAGGTGGAGGCAGGAGGATCAGGAATTTAAAATTACCCTTGGCAACATATCAAGTTTGAGGCCAGCTTGAGCTACGTGAGACCCTGTCAGACACAAACAAATGGTACAAAAGCTTTCACTAGAGGGACTCCATGGTTAGATAATAGTCTGAGATATTAATGCTCTCTGTCCACTTTCTCTTCCCCCACTCAGGGGGGTAGCCAAACTGATACTTTTCCCAGAGCAAGATGTTTGACAGAACAAACACTTCCTTCTCACTTTTTGTGTTAGAGAAATTAGGAGTTTAGGGAATGAAGCACAAGTAACATTACTTGTGGGTGTGCACAGAGTCCTGGAGAAGCAGGGCCTTGTGCCGGAGATGTGGGGAGTCAATCTGGCTGATGAGAGAAGAGGGTAAGGTGTGGAGTTCTGAAGCAGAAAAGACCAGGGTCTACTTTCTGAAAACACTGTGAAGAAGTGGCAAAACAAAAGTGAGTAACGGCCGTACTGTGTGTTTCGGCCCTGGGTAACTTCACAGAATAGTCATGTGTCCCACCATGCAGTGCAGGAAGGCAGCAAAAGGCACCCATTATGAAGGCCATGCCCAGACATTTAAGGGGTAACCTGTATAAGTAGAAGACTGAATTTAGGGGGCTAGGGATATAGCTCGATGCTGAGTACTTCTTGCATAGCATTCAAGAAACCCTGGGTTCGGTCTCTACTACAAATGGGGCAGGTGGAGCAAGTTGTTTGCTCTGACAGCCACCCCTCCGCTTCACAGTAGTTGAAGTATTTTCTGAATCTACAGACTGAGATTCTTATCTGCTCCATTGTTAAGTTTAGCTCATCTCATGTTAGGACTGTAATCTTTTTTTGGATAATTCTTATATTTTTCTAGAGCTTTTTGTTTGTTTGTTTGTTTTTGTTTTTGTATTGAGACTTAGGGTCTCACTGTGTAGCCCTGGTTGGCCTAGAACTCACTATGTAGACCAGACTGACCTCAAACTCATAAAGAGCCTCCTACCTCTGCCTGCCCAGTGCTAGATTTAAAGGCATGTACCACCAAGCTCGGATTTCCTAGAGTTTTAAATTGCCTCTCTTTTTCTTTTCTTTTTTTATGCTTCATATTAATTTTTAAGTTAGACTACAAAGGAATGAATTCCTTTTCTTTTTAGCAAATGTTTCTTTTTAAATTAAAAAATCATTAATTAAATTTGTTCTTTGACATTTTCATACGTGTATAAAATGCATTCTAATTACCCCTCAAAGAGTTAATAGTAATGTCTCATTGTGACATTTCCATACATGACTAACTTTTAAAAATATTTTATTTATGGGTCTGGAGAGATTGCTCAGCATTTAAGAACACTGGTTTGTTCTTACAGAAGACCCGGGTTCAAATCCCAGCACCCACATAGCAGCTAACAACTGTCCATAACTCCAGTTCCAAGGGATCCGACATCCTCTTCTGAACTCCCCAGGCACTGACCAACAAAAGTGTATTGCTTATGTGTAGATAAGTGCACCCATGTCGTGCAACACCCTTGGAGGACAGAAGAGGCTGTTGGATCCCCTGGAACTGGAGTTACCGGTTGTTAGCTGCCATGTGGGTGCTGGGAACTGAACTTGGGTCTTCTGCAAGAGCAGCCAGTGCTCGTAACCACTGAGCCATCTCTCCAACCCCACCATACATGACTCATTTACATCTAAAATTTTTAAATTTATTTATGTGTGTTTTGCCTGCATGTGTATGAAGGTGTACAGTACAATGCCAACAGAGACAAGAAGAGTGCTGGAACTATAGTTACTGATTGGACCACTGTTAGCCAACATGTGGGTGCTGGGAACAAAACCCAAACCCAAACCCGGTCCTCTGGAAGAACAGCCAGTGCTCCTAAACACTGAGTCATCTCTCCAGACCCAAAACATTTGTTTTTATGTAAGTTTTACTTTAATAGCATTGATTAGAAAAAGATAAGCAGCTACCCAAATCATTTACTGTATTACTATATTTTTTCTGATATCAGAATAGAAAATGACTTCATTCATCTCCTTATTCTATTATCCAACTCTTCCTTCCATAAAATATGAACTCTTTGAGGACAATGACTGTCTTATTCCCAACTATAATTCCAGAATCTAGAGCCATGCTTGTCATATAAAGGGATCAAAATAAATTTCTCTTGACAGACTGATTAAAACCCATGAGTTGCTATACCTCAAATTATATAATATATATATTTGCATATGTAATTAAGATAACCCAGGTTCAGTTCCCAGCACCTACATGGAGGCTAACCACTCTCTGTAACTCAACTGATGCCCTTTTCTGGCCACTTTGGATACCAGGCATGCATGTGGTACATTTACACACATGCAAGTAAACACGTATACACATAAAAATAAACGTTTTTTAAAACCACAAATGTTTTCATTTAAGTGTACAGTTTAATGTGTTGGATGGGTTTTTTTCCCCCTCAGTTCTCAGGATCAAACGCAGGACTTTGCACTAG